TCTCTCTCTCTCTCTCTCTCTCTCCCTCTCTCTTCTCTCTCTTCTCCTCATCTCTCTCTCTACTCATTATTTCAAACTCAGTGTCTATATATCTATCCAACGCTAGCAATCTATATCACACACACACAACACACACACACAAGCATTCACAGCTAATCAATACACACACACACACACACACACACACACAGCACAGACACACACACACACACACCACAAACACACACACACACAAACACACACACACAGCACACACACACATCCGCACTAATATAGTTATATATATAATATAGTAATATAACTATATATAATAATATTATGATATATGAAAGGTTGGAATAATGCAGCAGGCCGCATTGATATCATGAATTGTATACACCTCTACTGGAGAACAGGGTTGCGCGAACCCCCTGCCGCCGATGGGATCGGTGTATCATTGGATGGGAGATGCAGCCGTCTTGTGAAATTCTTTGCATGGCAAAGCGAGAGGGAGAGAGAGAAGAGAGAGAGAGGGGAGGAGGAGGAGAGGAGAGGAGAGAGGCGGGAAGGGAGGGAGAAGCGAAGCCCGAAAAAATGAGAAATGAAAGAGAACGCGAAGCGAAAGAGAGAGAGAGAAACGGAAGCGAGAGAGAGAGAGAAGAGAAGCGAAGCAAGAGAGCAGAGAACGAAGCGAGAGAGTGAGAGAGAGAAGAGAAGCGATAGAGAGAGAGAGCAGAGAGAGGAGAGAGACGAAAGCGAAGCGAGAGAGAGAAAGAGAAGAGAGAAGCGAAGAGAGAGAGAGAGAAAGCGAAGCGAGAGAGAGAGAGAGAAAAGAGAAGCGAAGCGAGAGAGAGAGAGAAAGAGAAGCGAAGCGAGAGAGAGAAAGAGAAGAGAAACGAGAAGGAGAGAGAAGCGAAGCGAGGGAGAGAGAGGAAGCGAAGCGAAAGAGGAGAGAGAGAGAAGCGAAAGAGAGAGAGAGAGGCGGAAGCGGAGAGACGAGAGAAGAAGGAGCGAGAGAGAGAGAGAAGCGAAGCGAAGAGCGAGGAGAAAGAGAAGAGAAACGAGAAAGGAGAGAGAGAGATGAAAGCGAAGCGCGGAGAGAGAGAGAGAGTGTGTGTGAGAGGAGAGAGAGAGAGATAGAAGAGAGAGAGTGAGAGAAGAGAGAGAGAGAGAGAGCGAGAGGGAGAGAGAGAGAGAGAGAGAGAGAGAGAGAGAGAGAGCGAAGCAAGAGAGAGAGAGAGAGAGAGAGAAGAGAGAAGAGAGAACGAAAGCGAGAGAGAGAGAGCGAAGGGAGAGAGAGAGAGAGAGAGAGCAGAAAGAGAGAGAGAGAGAGAGAGAGAGAGAGAGAGAGAGAGAGAGAGAGAGAGAGAGAGAGAGAGAGAGAGAGAGAGACTCGCAAGGGAAACCAAAGGATAAGATAAAATTTAATCGTCTTTAAAATGTCGGTTTTCTGTTGTGGAGAAAAGTTGCCAAGATATTTTTTAATTAATTAATAATTTCCTTCTTCCACAAATTAGTATCGAATCACAATCAAAAGAGAAAGATAAGAGAAATGGCGATAAATAGATAGAAAAGAAAGAAACAAGAAAAAGATGCGGAGAAAAGCTGAACATTGAAGAAATTTGAAAAAAATAATGACAGTTAACTTTCGCCGGAAAGACGTTATCTTCGTTACTATAATTGAAAAAGATATTTAAATTTTTGATTTTGAATTTGAAACGTCAGTTGCTCTCTTGACTTCGTGACGTGAAAGTGTGTTAGAAGTTAGAGAAAAGAAAAATTATATAGATAATTTTTGATAATACTCTCATTATTATTATTATTATTTATCTTAATTATTTGTTATTATTTGTTATTATTATTGTTAAGTGCTATTATTTTTTTATTTTTGTTGCTATTATTATTATTATTTTTTTATCATTATTTGCTTATACTATTATTGTTATTGTTGTTGTTATTATTTATTATATTTTTATTAATGATAGAGTTATTGTTATTACTATTATTATTATTATTATTATTACCATTATTATTGCTGTTGTTTTTATGATTATTACACTACATTTTAGTTGTTTTTATTATTATTGTTTTTAGCTAACATTACTATAATTGTTATTAATGTTTTATTATTGTTGTTGTTTTTATTATCATTATCATCATTATTTTTAGAAAAGACAAAGAAAAGGTCAAATAGAGACAAAAAAAAAGGTCAGAGAGAAAACAACGAAAGGACTAAAAGGTCAGAGGGTTCAAACAAAGACAAAACAGAAAAGGTCAAACAAGAAAAGAAAAAAGACAGAAAAGTCAGTTGGACAAAAAAGGTCAAAATAAAAACGAAAAGGTCAGGTCAAACAAGGACAGAGAAGGGGGGAAAGGTCAAACAAGAAAAAAAATACCAAGAAAGGTGAAAAAAGGTCAAACAAGGAGAAAAAAAAGACCAAGAAAAGTGAAACAGTCAAAATAAAAACGAAAAGGTCAGGTCAAACAAGGACAGAAAAGGGAAAAAAGGTCAAACAACGAAGAAAAAGACAGAAAAGTTAAAAAAAGGTCAAATACGGAGAAAAGAAAGACCAAAAAAAGTGAAAAAAGGTCAAAATGAGTTCAACCATAAAAGTGAACATAACGAGCCGAAAAAAGATAAATTTCATCGTGAAGAAGAGAGAGGAAGATGAAAGAGGAGGAGGAGGAATAGGAAGAATTGGAGGTGGAGGAGGAGGAGGAGGAGTGTTTACCTCCACTCTCCCTTCCCTCCCTTCTTCCTTTCCTTCTTCTCTCCTTCCCTCTTTCGCCAAGAAGAAAGAGGGAGAAGGAAAGAAAAAAATAGGGTTGAAGAGGCACAGATTGAGTAGCGTTTTCTCGCAAGAGGAAATTGCAAGGAAGTGCATAAGTAGGAAGGAGAGGAAAAAAAAAATGAGAAAATGAACAAAAGGGAGAGATGAAGAGAGACAGAGAGAGGAAGAGAGGAAAGAGCAGGAAGGGAGAATGAGAGAGAGAGCGAGAGGAGAAGAGGGAGAATGAAGAGAGAGAGAGAGAGGAGAGAAGGAGGGAGAATGAGAGAGAGAGAGAGAGAAGGAAAGAGGGAGAATGTGAGAAGAGAGAGAGAGGAAGAGGGAGAATGAGAGAGAGAGAGAGGAAAGAGGGGAATTAGAAGAGAAGAGGGAGATGAGAGAGAAGGGAGAGGGGAAAAAAGAGAGAAATGAAGAGAGGAAGAGGGAAAAAGAGAGAAATGAAGAGAGCAAGAGGGAGAATTAGAGAGAGAGAGAGAGGGAAGAGGGGAGAATGAGAGAGAGAGAGAGGAAGAGGGAAAAAGAGAGAGATGAAGAGAGAAGAGGGAAATAGAGAGAGAAAGAGAGGAAAGAAAATTGGAGAAAGAGAGAGAGAGAGAGAGAAGAAAGAATAAGAACAAAAGGGAGAGAGAGAGATGAAGAGAGGAAAGGAAATTTGAGAGAGAGAGAGGAAGAGGGAGAATTAGAGAGAGGGGGGGGAGAGGGAAGGAGAAAGAGAGGAAGAAGAATGGGGAGAGAGAGAGAGAGAGAGAGAGAGAGACATAGAGAGACGAGAGAGAGAGAGAGAGAGAGAGACGAGAGAGAGAGAGAGAGAGAAGAGAGAGAGAACGAGAGAGACAGGTGACAGATAAGAGAAGAGAGAGAAAAAAAGGAAGAAGAACGGTGTGTAAAAGAGAGAGAGAAAGAGAGAAAGAGAGAGAGAGAGAGAGAGAGAGAGAGAGAGAGAGACGACAATAAGAGGAACGAAATAAAGAAGATGAGATAGACAAAAAAACAAAACAGAAAAACAGACAAGATAAAGGAAAGAATAACGAATAAAAAACGAATTTAAGTAATCAAAGGTGACAGAAAAACAAATGAAATGAGCGAAGCGCAGGGTCACGTGACCGAGAAAATTCATGATAATACGAGTAATATTAATAGTAATATTACTAATAGGCGTAATAGCAATAATAGAAATGATGTAATTATTTTTTTTCCTATTTAATAACTTTTGTTATAGTTGTAAGTGCTTATATAGATCTTGATAATAGTCGTAATATTAATAGCAATATTACTAATAGGCGTAATATTAGTAATAAGAATAATATCATTATTTTTCCTATTTAATTAACTTTTGTAATAGGTGGAAGTGCTTATTTAGATCTTGAGAATAGTTGTAATATTAATAGCAATATTACTAATAGGTAATAGTAATAATATAAATTCTTTTATTATTTTTTTCCTATTGAATTAATTGTAATAGTTGTAAGCACTTATTTAGATCTTGAGAATGTTGTAATATTAATAGCAATATTACTAATAGGCGTAATAGTAAAATAGAAATGATGTAATTATTTTTTTCCTATTTAATTAACTTTTGTAATAGGTGGAAGTGCTTATATAGATCTTGATAATAGTTGTAATTAGTAATAGGCGAATAGTATAATAGGAATGATAATCATTTTTTTTTCCATTTGATTATTGTTTAATTTATGCGCGATTGATGTACTAATATCCTATTAGGAACAAAATTATTTAAGACCAATTTCACCCAAATTTTTAACAAATTTCACCCAAATTTTTCACACAAATTTTCACCAATTCACCCAATTTCCAATTTTTAAAACCAGTTCCACCAATTAGTTTCCTAAAACCAATTTCACCCAAATGTTCAGAAATTTCACCATATTTTAACCAATTTCACATTTTAAAATCCAATTCCACCCCAAATTTCACAATTTTCAACCAATTCCACCCAATTTTCCACCATTTTCAAAAATTCCACCCAATTTTCACCAAATTCACCATTTTAACAACCAATTTCACCATTTTTTAAAACCAATCTCACCCCAATGTTCACCAATTTCACCATTTTAAAACCAATTTCACCATTTTTAAAACCAATTTTAAAACCAATTTCACCATTTTAAAACAAATTCCACCAATTTTCCCACCAATTTCGCCATTTAAAAACCCAATTTCACCAATTTTCCCACCAATTTCGCCATTTAAAAACCCAATTTCACCCCCCAA